GGGGTAGAAGAACACAGGAGAATATGACTTCTGAAAATGTTAACATTCACAAGTAGAGGATCTGGTGGACAGTGAAGGGACTGAATCCTCAGCTTAAGGAGCTTAAAGAGGACATAAAAAAAATTCAATGAATCCTAAGAGAAAACAGATTTTTAAAAATTTGAGAAAATACAGAAAAAAACCTAAATGAACTCAGAGGATTTAAACATCAGAACAAAACCAAGGAAATCATAAAAAGAAATAAATGAAATAAAGAAGGCAATGCAAGATGTGAAAGAGGAACTTAAAAAAGATAAAGAAGTCTCAAAAAAAAACAGAATCAAGCAGAAACCTTGGGAGCACAATTTCCTTAAATCAAATAAAAAAATACAATTGAAAGCCACTCCAGCAGACTGGAGCAAATGGAAGATAGAATTTCAGGGTTTGAAGACAAAATAGATATTAAAGACAAACCAGATGAATACATAGAGAAAAGACTGAAGAGTTGTGAAAGGAATATGCAAGAACACTGTGACTCAATCAAAAGACAAAACCTACAAATCTGGGCATTGAAGGAGAAGAGGTGCAAGCCAAAGGAGACATAATAGCATAAAATATTTTCTACAAAATAATAGCAGAAAACTTCCCAAATCTTGAGAAAGAGACACCCATCTATGTACAAGAGGCCTCTAGGACACCAAACAGACATGACCAAGATAGAACCTCTCCACAGCATATTATAGTTAAAACAATTAGCACAGAGAAAGAATATTGAAGGAAAGAATATTGAAGATTCCAAGAGAGAAAAAAATCAAAGAACATATAAAGGCAAGCCCATAAAAATAACAGCAGATTTTTCAACAGAAACCTTAAAAGCAAGAAGGCCATGGAGTGAGGTATTTCAAGTATTGAAAAACAATTTCAAACCTAGCAACACTATCATTCATAACTGAAGGAGAAATAAAACCTTCCATGATAAACAGAAACTAAAACAATACAGGGCCACTAAACTGGCACTCCAGAAGATACTCAAGGGAATCCTAAACACAGAGGATGAAAATAAACATAGCCATGAAAAGAAAAGAATTATTAAATCTCAAAAGCAGATAAATAATTATAGAGTAGGATAGACTCAACTATACACACACAAACCCTTACACACCGAAAACAACTAAATGGCAGGAATCACCACATAACTCTCAATATTAACACTAAATGTTAATGGACTCAACTCCCCAATCAAAAGACATTGATTGGCAAGCTAGATTAAAAAAGGAAGACCTGAAAATTAGTTGTTTACAAGAAATCCACTTTACAGAAAGAAACAAACATTGGCTTAGGGTAAAAGGGTAGAAAAAGACTTAACAACTTAATAGCCCCCAAAACAGGCAAAGGTCGCTATGCTTACATCAGATAAAGTAGACTTCAAACCAAATTAGTCGGAAGAGACAAAGGAGGTCACTTTATACTAATAAAAGGAGCAACACATCAAGAAGAAATAACAATTGTTAACCTATATGTGCCCAATGTTGGTGCATCCAATTTCATTATACATACTTTGCTGAACTTAAAAACACACACAGACCCCAAAACAGTAATGGTGGGATACTTCAATACTCCACTATCACCAATAGATAACTCATCCATACAAAAAGATCAACAAAGAACTTTAGAATTCAATGACACCATAGATCAAATGGACCTGACAGACACCTACAGAGTATTTCATCCAGCAACAGCACAATACACATTCTTTACAGAAGCCCATGGAACTTTCTCCAAAATAGATATTTTAGGACACAAAACAAGTCTTAATAAATATAAGAAAATTGAAATAACCTCCTGCATACTGTCTGACCACAATGGAATAAAACTAGAACTCAACAACAAAAGAAACAGCAGGAAATACTACACTGGGAGACTGAATAACATGTTGCTCTATGACCAGTACAGAAAAAGTCTTCATTAAAATTCAAAATCCTTTCATGATAAAAGCTCTGATGAAAGTAGGAATAGAAGGAGTTGACCGTAACAAGACTATAGCCAATATCATATTAAGTGGGGAAAAACTAAAACCATTTCCTCTAAAGTCAGGAACAAGACAAGGGTGTCCACTCTCTTCATTCTTATTCAACATAGTCTTGGAATTCCTAATTGGAGCAATAAGACAGGAAGAAGAAATAAAAGAATTCAAATAGGAAACAAAGAAATCAGACTAATCTTATTTGCAGATGATATGATCTTATACCTAAAAAACCCAAAAAACTCCTAGATATCATAAACACTTTTAGTAAGGTAGCAGATACATAATCAACTTACAGAAATCAGTAGTTTTTCTATATACCAACAATGAACAGATTGAGAAATATAGGAAAGCAATCCCATTTACAATAGCCTTAAAAAAAATAAAATACCTAGGAATAACTTAACAAAGGAAGTCAGAGACCTCTACAATGAAAACTATAAACCACTGAAGAAAGAAATCAAAGACTTAAGAAGATGGAATGATCTCCCATGCTCATGTATTAGCAGAATCAATATTGTGAAAATGGCTGTATTACCAAAAGCAATCTAGATGTCCAAAGCATTTACCATCAAAATTCCAATGAAATTCATTACAGAGATTGAAAAAACCCTGAAGTTCATATGGAAGCACAAAAGACCACAAATAGTCAAGGTAATACTGAGTAAAAAGAGCAACGCTGGAGGTGTCACAATACCTGACTTCAAATTATGCTACATAGTTTAAAACTATGCTACATAGCAATAAAAACAGCATGATACTCGCACAAAACATACATGAAGACCAATAGAACAGAAAAGATGACCCAGATATGAATCCACACAGTTATGCCCACCTGATTTTTGACAAAGTCACCCCAAACATACGATGGAGAAAAGACAGCCTCTTCAATAAATGTTGCTGGAAAAATTAGATACCTACAAGCAGAAAACTGAAACTAGATCCATGTCTTTCACCCTGTACTAGTATCAACTCAAAGTGAATTAAGGACCTTAATATAAGACCTGAAACTTTGAAACTAGTGTGGGAAAGAGTAAGGAATACACTGGCAATAACTTTCTAAATGGTGTCCCAATAGCTCAGCAACTAAGAGAAAGGATTGACAGATGGGGCTACATGAAACCAAAAATCTTCTGCACAACAAAAGAAATGGTCAACAGATTGAAGAGGCCACCCACAGAATGGGAGAAAATCTTTGTCAGTTATATATCTGACAAGAGATTAGTAACCAGAATATACAAGGAGCTCAAAAAACTAAACTCCCAAAAAAAGCAATGACCCAATGAAGAAACTGGCAAATGAATTGAACAGAGCTTTTTCAAAGGACAAGTCCTAATGGCCAAAAAACACATGAAGAAATGCTCAACAACCCTGGCCACACAGGAAACTCAAATCAACCATGTTAAGTTTCCATCTCACTCCTCTTAGAATGGCTACTATCAGGCACACCACCAACAACAAATGTGGGCAAGGATGTGGGGAAAATGGACCCATCATACACTGTTAGTGGGGATGTTAATTAGCATAATCACTATGGAAAATAGTATGGAAGGTACTCAAAAACTAAAACTAGAACTGCCATATGATCCAGCAATACTCCTCCTAGGATATACCCAAAAGAATGTAAGTCAGGTTACAATGAAGACACCTGCACACCTATGTTTATTGCAGCATTATTCACAATAGTCAAGTTATATAGACAAAATGCCCCACAACTGATGGATACATTAAGAAATTGTGGTATTTATATACTCGTGTATGAAAATGAAACAAAGACCTGTTGAAACTATTCTAAGAATAAGGGAAGGGAAAAAGGAGAGTGGTGGAGGAGGTGAATCTAACTAAGATATATTGTAAACACTTTTGTAAATGTCACAATGTACCCCAAACACAACAATAATATGCTAGTAAAAAAGAAAAAAAGAAGAAATGGAAGAAAGTTCATCACTACGAATGCCACAGTCACCGAAGGATAAGGAGTGCCGTGGACAGCCCTTTACCTATAGGCTCGATACAGAGGAAATGGATGAGTTTCTTTTTTGACATTTTTATTAGCGTATGATAGTACAGGGAGTTTCTTTGTGACATTTCCATATATGCGTACAATATACCCCAGTTTGTTTCATCCCCTCCACAGATGAGTTTCTTAAACACAAGCAACCAAAAATCACACAAGGAGAGACAGATCACCTAAACGGGCCTCCACCCATTAAAGAGATTGAATTAGTAACTGAAAGCCCTCCAGAAGAGCAAGCACCAGGCCCAGACGGCATCACAGGTAGAAATGATGTCGCCTTGGGCCTATGGCAGCACCAGAGGATAACCTTGGCGTGGTCCCAGTTAGAGGAGTCTCCATACACTTTTACATCTTGTCTTATATTTTTAAAAGATAATTCTCATCCTTTCTAAAAAGTTATGTAACACATCACAGAACTTGAGAAAAATAAAGAGCAACACCCACTCCCACCTACTTGCACTTGTTGGGTCTCATCCACTTTCACTGCCCTAGTCAAGTATCAGAGATCCTGAATTGATTCAAGGGCTCAGATGGGCTCAGAGAAGAACTGACCTCAACTACACAGACTAGAAAATGGGTGACAGCAGACAGGCATCTGATTTGGATTTTAATTTTTCTATAAAGATTTTTTGGGGATAGAGTTGCCTTGGAGTGGAGATAAGGGAGGTCTGGGGGAGATGAGAGGGTTCAGAGAAATCACCCAGTCCTGCAGCAAACCCTCAAGGGGCCATGAAGTTCAAACAGCACCAACTCAGCTGTGCGACAGTTGTGAGGAAATAAAGTGAGGTGATCCGGGTTGGCCTTAAGTTTCCCCCCACAGCTAAACCTAGTGAAGTAAAAAATCAAGTTTTCCTCATTTCTTATTTTTTGTCATGTTGTTCTCTCAAATACCTATGGAATGAGGTTGGATAGACGTAAGTAACAGATGTAAACACTGACCTTACCAAAGACCAAGGACAAGAAAAGGAGATAACCACTTACCTGATGCTGATATCACTGCCCCCACCTGCCATCCTCTACCGTGGACCCCACAGTGGGTGAACTTGGCTTAGGATCACAGCCTACTAGATTCTCACTGCCTCTCTGCCTTCCCAGAGCTCAGAGCTCTGCCAATTGAGTGAACCCTCTAACCGTCAGGGCTTTCCTCAAAAAGAAAGTGAAACTGCCACAATCTGTGACGTGGCTGCACCAACACACTGTTCTCCCTCCTCCCAGACTGTCCCTCAGAGGAGGAATGGGACCAGAGAAAACAGTGGATCACTTGTTCATGCCAAGGGAAGAGGACAGAAAAGCCTGTTCAACTAACATGCATCAAAATTGTTTTGAGGTGAGGCGGCACGGCTTTTATGGGGAGGAAGTAAACTCCATATTTGCCCTTTGAACTTTCAAAGGCAGCTGGGGGGAAGGACGAGGAAGAGCTGGCATTTGGAAACTTCTCTCAGGTGTGTGGCCATCCAGATACCTTAGTGAACTAGGACTGGAGGAGTTAGACCTAGTACTCAGAAACTGGCCTCGAAGGAGCCAAAATGTGTGGCATCATAAAGTTCTTAGCATTTCTGGAAAGAGCCAAAGGTAAGACAGACCTCTTCCCACTCCTCCAACTACAGGCAAGTACAGAGAATTGGGGCAGAGAAGGCTGAAGTGCAATTCTGTTTTCTTGCATATGTGGGCACTTTACAACTGCAGCCAAAGTGATCCTAAAAAAAAAAAGCCCTGATTTCAGCTACCTCACTGAAATCTTAAAGAGCAACAGGCTTCTGGATGAACAGAGATTATCTAGACCTTCAAAGACAATGCAATTCAGGAGATGGGTGCGTTACGTTTATACCTGAACTTATTTTGTAAAGGATTTGAAACAACTTAGGAGAATAGCTAAATCAATATAAAGTTGAAAGATAAAGAAATAGGAGCAAAAGGCAAATAAAATAAGTAAATAAATCCAAGTGGGACAATGGATCAGAGACGGGATGAATGGGAACCAGTGTGGAGAGCAAGGCTGATACACAGCCGGCCAGGGCAGGTGAAGACAGAGAAGCAGAAGCAAGGTGGTATTTTTCTGGACCATGTGCCACCAAATCCTACTTCTGACCTATTACACATGTGCTGGGGGGTTTGCACACCTAAGTTTGCAAAAATATAGGAAGCAAAAGATTTTTATCATTTTGGGCCCTTTTGACTTTTCTCTCCCCAAGGAGCAGACCCCAGTCTGACTGGAGCCACCTCTGTTGGCACAGCTGTCCTCTGCTCATGGCCTCTATCAGGTGCAGTGACCCACCAAGCCTGGCACAGACTCCACCAGCCTGTTCTAGTGTCCCTTCTCTTTCCTGTCTCCGCTGCTGGACATCAGGCAGGTCCTGGCCACTACTGAGCTGAGCGTCTTTGTAAATGTACCAGCCTCATTTACGCAGGCCTTTGGTGTTCGTCAGCTGACTGGTAATAAGACTGGGACTTCCTGGGATGGTCCTACCAAGTTTGCAAACAAAGCCTGCTTTGGCTGTGCACTGGTGGCTCATGCCTATAATCCTAGCTACTTATTAGACAGAGATCAGGAGGATGATGGTTCAAAGCCAGCTGGGCAAATAGTTCACAAGACCCTCTCTTGGAAAAAAAACCATCACAAAAAAAGGGATGGAAGAGTGGCTCAAGGTGCAGGCCCTGAGTTCAAATCCCAGTACCACAAAAACCAAACAAAAGCCAACAACAAAGCTTGCTTTGCTACACTACTGATTATCACATCAGGAATTTCACTATGCCCTATATGTTATCCTATATCCTGCTGTCCTGTTTTTTCCTACAGAATCTCTCCTGAAGAAAGGACACCTGGGCCAAGACCATCCATGACTGTCTGCTCATCTCTGGCTCCCAACACGTGGGTAGAGCTGTTTTCTTTACTTTCATGTGACCAGAGGGTCTGGGAACCTCCAGTTTCCTCCTTGCTCTGTTCTCTTACCCAGATGCAGGCCAGTGGGTGATTAACCATAAAGGTGACCAACCTGAAAGACTCCTCTCCTCTTGGCAAGTGCACTAGAATCCACTTGGAATTGGGGGTGAATTATTCACCTCCACCACAATCTAGTGCAACCCTTTAATTTGCCAATGTACCCCAACTTGGCAAAAGTCTACCAAATCCTGGGCTGGTGGAGTGGCTCACGTGGTACAGCACCTGCCTAGCAAGCATGAATTCAAACACCAGTCCCACCAAGAAAAAAGTCTACCAAGTCCTATCTGTGAACACTAATGGAATCCTTGCTACCTTTATACGCAATTATGTCAGATCACCAACCCTCCAGACATTTCACATATCCTGGAGGACATGTTGTTTACATTCATTAGGATTCTTTTTAGCACAAATAACCCAAACTGACTCTGGCTAACGCAGGCAAAAAGTAAAAAAAAAAATCTTTTGAGACAAGATGTCACTGTTAGCCCAGCATGGCTTTGAACTCATGATCCTCCTGCCTTCACCTCCTGAATGCTGGGATTACAGGCCTTCACCACCAAACTCAGCCAGAAAAATCCATTTCTTAGAACTATACTGAGTAGAATTTATGAGGCTGCTAAAGAAGCAGGCTCAAAACATGGACATCTCAGCAGTGTGCTCCTTTCATGGGCCTAGGTACACAGAATGGGGCCCTGACTTGCCAAATGTGTTCTTCCCCTTCTCATAAAAAGAGAATCAGAAACAGTTTGCATTCACATACCACACGTAAGAATATTAATTTTTGCTGGGCACTGGTGCCTCACGCCTGTAATCCTAGATACTTGGGAGGCTGAAATTGGGAGGATATCAGTTTGAGGCCAGCCTGAGAAAATAGTTCTTGAGCAGTCACCTCCAAAACAGCTAGAGCAAAATGGACTGGAGGTGTGGCTCAAGCAGTCGAGTGCCTGCTTTGCAAGTATGAAGCCCTGAGTTCAAACCCCAGTTCATCACAAAACAAAAAAACAAGGGAATATTAGTTTTAAGTATGTTAACTCTCCTGCCCTTTGTCATAATATAGTTAGTGCTAAGAGACCTGGATTACCTGACATCCTGTAGAACATCACGGTGGCAATTATATGGGTGACATCATACTGACCAGAGAGGATGAGCTAGAGGAGTGAATCAGAGAGCTGCAACAACAGAAGTGGATCTCAGAAGTATTATGACTAGCAAAAAAAAAAAAAAAAAAAAAAAACAGCCATACACCAAAAAGTACATGTCATTTTTCATTTGAATAAAAATTTTATTTTTATTAGCATAAGTTAATTCCAAAACAGGGTTTCATTGTGATATTTCCATACATGCATGGAATGACTTTGACCAAATTCACCCCCTTTTACCCAGCTTAATCTCCTTCCCTCCTCCCCCAGCTTTTACACGATTTTAGTGGTTGTTATGCTATTTTCACACATATATGTAATATACTTTGACCATATTCATTCCCGCCTTCAGACATAAAAGTTTAACATAGCCAAACTCACTCATAGTAAGAGAATGCAGATCTGGGCGTGTCTGGTGCTTAGGCCCAGGAAGGGATTTTCTGTGAAGAACACAGGAGAACTTTCTGGGGTGTTGGAAAGGGTCTATATCTTCATTGTGGTAGTGGTTGCATGTGCTAACACTCATCATGATGTTCTTTTATGATGAATTATACATCCATAAAATTGAGCTTAAAGCAATAACAAGTGTACATCATTTTAAGGTTCTTACACTATAGATCACTTGCAGGTGATTAACAGTGAGGTTTTCCCATTATTCCTGCTCTCTCGAGCATGTGTTGCTTAGAACAAACATCTTTTATCCTCATTCATGTCTGATCTGGCATCATTTTCCTGCTTTTTCTTTTTCTTTTATTTATTTTCCTGGCATAGCTCTGAAGAGGTCTAAAGGAAAACTTGCTGCAGCTTTCTCGGATGCCCTTAGATGATTTTTTAGCTTCTTAGGTGACCATGGAGGGGCTTCAGGAAACACAGTGTGACATTTGCATAAAACACTCCTGACCCCTCTCACCACGGGTGTCCTCTGCATCTTACAGTGTGTGTCACTGAGCTGAGGGCCCAACACGCCCCTCCTCAACACTTGGGCTCACATTTTTTGCTGAATTTTCATGGACTTCTAGTGGGGAGCTCTGTTGCTCCCCAACCCTCACGGTTGTGTCCTACTGGACGGGCCTGTTGCTCTGTACATGCTGGACTGGGCGATGCCAGCCAGGGGAGCATAAAGGGCTCTCCCCTGTGCAAGTTGGTTGGTTCCAAGTCTTCCAAGACTCTGTTTCCCATCTTTCTTTCTGAGGGCTTTGCGGATATCCATGAGTTAAAGAGATTTCTGAAATTTTAACTTCTCATAGCCCTGCACGCTCATGTACGTTAGCAGTCTTTAAGGTGTGTGCAGAAGAGGGTGCTTGCTGCTTCCTTCAACTTGCTGTTCTAGAGTCTTCTACTTAGACCTGGCCCCACACTCCTGGCTCCCAGCACCTGCCCTGCTCCCACCACCATCACTTCTGCCTGGAGGTCTACCTCCTCTGCTTCCCCCAACCCCACCCCCACACACTGGGTTTGAACTCAGGACCTACATCTGAGCCACTCCGCCAGTCCTTTTGTGCGTTGTTTTGTGTTTCTTTTCAAGATAGGATCAAAACTATTTGTCCCAGCTGGGCTTCGGAACCGCGATCTCCTGATCTCTGCCTCCCAAGTAGCTAGGATTACAGGAGTGACAATTTCTAGTAATTTATTCAGGTGGGTAACCATCACACAATCCAGTTTGAGAACGTTTTCATCACCCCAAAAAGTTTAGAATGAGGACAAGTGCTAGGGATATAGAGGTGGGGAGGGGACAGCCCCGCCTGCAGCCCGTCCCCCTCTCCCGGTGGATCCGATTGCCCCTCTTCACCCCGGTGCGGCTCCCTCGCTCCCTCCCGGGCGGGCGGGCGACAGTTGGCCTCGGCTTCCTGCTGCTTCTGCGCTTTCACTTTCCATTCCCCGTTGCTGCAGCCTGAGCTGCTGGCGACTTCCTGATCCCGCTGTCCCCTCCCCGCAGGCTCCCGGCTCTCCTTAGCAATCCCGGGCTCAGCCCCGGGCACCTAGACCTGGGCCAGAGCAGGTGAAGGCATAGCATCCAGGTGAGTTGACCTCTGACAACTGATTCCCGGTGGCACTAGTGGCCCGGGGGGACTTCAAAGCTGAGGCTCTCTCTTTGTTAAACAGTGTTCTCCAGAGAGGCAGGGGACTTAAGAGCAGACTATGA